GTTCTGCTTTCCCAATTCTCATTGGCTTTCACATCCTGATCCGTATCACTCACCTTTAGTTGAGACAATGCTGACCGGGCGAGGAGAGTCAAAGAAATGACTTCCTCTAGATTTCTTCCATTGATGGTCAATGATTTTTGTTGTTGTCAGTCGAGTATGTGAATCATCTCTATCTCCTCTATGTTCACCTGAATTTCTGACTTCACTCCCTCTCTTCTGCTAACTTATTAGTAGTCGCTAATAGATCTCCGGTTTTGTATAACACGAAAAATAAACCATCCACAGTCCATGCTGTTGTAGGCCTTTTTAAGGTCAATGAATTTAAGGAAGAGAATTGACTGCTCTGTTTCAGTGTGATCCACTTATGAACTGAATAAATGCATCATTTTACAGAAAATGTCTTCTATTCAAGGCATCTTTCAGTTTTTCCATGATGATGAGGCTTGGAGTTCATAGAAGCAAGAATAAAGAATAATACCGAATGGGGAAAAAAAGCTTCCCCTTCAAGGAAACACACAAGCAAATACCATTGTCAAAATATTAATGTTATATTAATGTTAGTTCTAAATAAACACCCATAGGACAGGAGGTTTGGTATAATTTGAAACTGTCACAATCAGATATTCCTGATCATTAAGCGATACTGAGGGCACAGAGAAAATTAGTTTTGATTAGGTTATTTCAAAGAAAGATGAGAGTTTTCTTCGTCCTGTGCACAGATCTGCGCTTAAATAAAGATCAGATAAGACAACCGCAGGCAAATAGAGAGTAAGATTTCGTGTGTACGCACGTGTGTGTATATGCAAAAATTTGTATTAAAGTGTATGAGTAAAATTTAACGATCACAAATAATAGGGAGACCAGTAGGCTGGGATGAATTGCAAATATACACTGACATGTATCCAGTTGAATGTGACACAGTTTTTGAATACAATTTCAAAATAAAAGATTTTTCTACATCTAGTGACTGACAGCCGCCAGCTGATAGAAATGCATTGAACTACAGTTAATGATGTATCTATGTTCGTCACATAGTCAGCATATTCATAAATTGTGTTGAAGTCTGGTTTAGCCGAGTTACACGATATTCATGAGCACAAGAAATTAAATTCCTAAGTTTGTTCTCTTCATTAATTATTTTCTCCACAGGAGTATATATACAAACTGCCTAGGAAATTAGTCTTTCAGACCAGCTGTTATAGGCAAACATAAGTGGTAATTTTTCTGCACAGATAGAATGAACATTTTCACCTTACAGTAAATAAATAGCCAATGTATTGATTGGCTTTATCAAGATACAAAAAGTGCCAAAGCTGAGTGCTTCTCTAACAACTGAGACTGAACTAGGTTTATGTGGTCTGGTAGTTGGATTAATGCAACCTCGCCACCATGACATAACATTCACCTACAACTTCTTATATGTCATTCTCACCAACTTTTATTGCTTTCAGTAATTCGCCACACATAAAGCACCTATACTACAATTGTTCGATAGGCTACTGTGAATAGTAAAATGTCTTTTCGGGAAACATTGAATATTATAAATCTATATTATTTGTTTTATGACTATAAATAAAAACCTTGCAGTCTTCATTTGCATAATTAACAAACTAATCAATGATAATATCGCCTTTGTGTGTAACTTCTTTGCTTGAATTATTCACTGTAAACTGTTAAATTTTGTTTTCTCTGGTTAAAGCTGACGCAAAATAGCTTGTGGTTATGCATTCCTATGTGCTTTAACAACGATTTACATTACAGCTTAAGATTCAACAGTGATATGCCTGTTTTCTTCATTGAACTTTAGATACTCATTAAAACGCATAATGGTATCCTTCTAGAGAGCAAGCCATTGATATACCCTATATTTATCTGTGGATTTGGTTGTTGAATTGATGTGTACGTTGAAAGTACATTGACATAAGAGCTATGCTAGGTAGTCAATTGGCATGCAAACATACATCGATGCTGTGGGATTGAATGGAACTGCATTAGAAAAAAAAACAGATGGTTTCTGTCAGTGGAACGTTAGTTAAGGGAGAAAAGAAAAAGTCTAAGGATAACATTCTTTTATCTACCGGACTGACATTCTTAATTGAGTGAGTTGTCAACGTACAAGTTTGAACATGAGTACATATAAACTCAAGTGTTCGTACCTCGAATGCAACTAAACTAAACTAGAACTAGAATGAATAAAGGTGAACAAGACGAAGAGAAAAATCAGATGAAGATTTGCATTCTAGCAGCCTCAATTATATTTACTGTATACGTGAGACATCGTTGTGAACGAACATTTCAATTACTCTGTATTTAATACAAATATTCATAGCTATTGACTTCACTTTATTGTAATCACATAATACAAATAACAAGAAACCTCGACTTCCACCTAATTAATGAGAATTTCACCCTTACTCAATACAATTCATCTAACTGCTAATAGATTACAGTGTCTAGTGTCATCTGTAGCACTTTTTCCCATTCTGTTTATATTATGCTACGATTGAGTGGAAGATAAATATCAATTTTCAAATTAGTCAGCAGTGTAGCTAAACAACATATTTGAAGACATCAAATTCACAAGAGAAGACGAATTAGATAACAAAATCCCATTTTTATATGTCTTAATCAGGACACCAACACAGGAGATTTAAAATCACAAGTATACAGAAAATCAACGCACACAGATCAAAAACTCAACTATACTAACAATAATCCAATTACTCACAAACGAAACTGTGTGCAGACATTGTTTAAAAGAGTTCAAACACATTGTAGCACTTCAGAGTTGAAAAGAATGGAAGAAAAATACCTACAAACAGTCTTCAAAAAGAATGGTTATCCACAAAATTTCATCAAAAAGTGTTTAAAGTCGAATTAAAACACCAACAAGAAACCCTCACCAAAGACCACAAGAAAATTTGTCCTAACATACATGAGAAATATCTCTGAAATAACAGCAAGAATACTTGAAACCGTTTGATATAGATATAGCACACAAGCCAGTCAAATCACTTAATTCGATATTATGCAAACCAAGAGATCCAACAGAAAAAGGAGATAAAATTAATACCATTTACAAAATAAATTGTATGAACTGTAACAAGCATTACATCGGCCAAAGTGGGCGTCCCCTTCGAATTAGAATCCAAGAACACAAATCAGCCGTGAAAAGACACGATATATATTCTTTAGTATCAATGCATATAGACAATTATGGACATCAGTTTGATTGGGATAATGTCGAGATCTTAGACAGAGGAAACACCAAAAGTGCAGTCAGGGAATTCCTAGAAGCCTGGTACTCAAGCGAATATGAGATTAACAAACACGTTAATATAGACGAAATATACCAACTAATAAAAAGTAAATCAGGTGACCAGAAAGTTTAAAATCCAAGTCAATAGAAAATGGTCAATACATATGTAAAGATGGTTACCGGGAGAGGCAATTATATCACTCATGAAGAAATTTAAATCATTTCACTTTATGCTAAATATTGCGCTGAAGATGTTGTCCAGAAGGACGACGAAAGCTTCGCAACTAAACCAACCAGCTCAGAGAACACTATTATTTGCAAAAGTGTAGCTAATACTTAATCCCAAGTGTGTGTTTATTGATACCTGTCGATCAGGTGTACAATGAATCATCAAGCCTGATAACTATTATGAATCATTAGGGTGTGTGAATTAGCAAGAGGAACAGCTTCTTAATACAAAATAACAAGAAGTGTTAACAACCATCATGCTTCTCATGTGACTGAAAGCTGTATCACACTATGCAGAAGTCAGAATCCTCACCAGTTGACTATTCAACCTTCAATATCTAAAGGCCTAAGATTTCCAGTACAAGCAGCAGAATCGAGTCCAACGACTCTCTGCTTGAAAATCTCCCACGTCTCTACAGTCAAAAGACTTGACACATTCTTATTTAATTTCAAAGCTAAGATAATGTGTAGTATGAACCATGCTGAATTTAGGTGGGTTCTTCATTCTTTCAAAATCAGACAGCTATCCACGAATCTGTCAGGATTTATTTCATTCGAATGTTTCTTCTGTTAAATCATTAAATGTTTATGGCACAATTCACCTTTTCTCAGACTAGTATACATTAGTTAACAAAATCAGTTAGTGAAGACAAGAAATAAGATAAAACTGACCACTATCACCTACGATGATATTCCTAATTGTCGTGAACTGGATTATACGAAACACCTCCGTGGGAAGCAAGAAGAAAAGAATACGTTAGACCAGCAGGAATACTATAGAAGATTTCCACTTCGTCGATGATTCATGTCTAATGTCACACAAACTCGATGATCTACGGGGGAAACCAACAAGTCGGTAGGAGGAGAGTCTGGAAGCGAAGACATGACTTCAAGTGAACATGGAGAAGACGGAGATGATGAAGGTAGCCAGCCAGTCATCCAACAACAACAACAATAAGCACCAATCACAATCAAAATATGTTGCATCTTTAGAGCCGGCTAAAAAACTGGAGAACTAGTAAACTATGCGTGGTTTGGTGGCTCCAGAGTCGTACGAATTCTTAAAATTCTTGGGTTTTAGGAGCAGTTTAATCAAGAGCCTGTTGCTCAGCAAATATGCAGAAGAAAATGGAGGTGGATCGGACACACAATGTGGAGACCATTGCTCAGCATCACAAGCCAGGCCATCACTTGAGTGGGACTCGAACGGGAAGTGACGAATTGAGCGCCTGACAGTGAAATGGAAGAGATAGCATGAGAAGGAGATGAAAGCCTATCGGCAATCGTGAGGGTAGGTAAAGAGGATTGCAAACAGAGAGTCGAAGCTGGACAACGTGCATAGCTGACAAGAATTCTACCTTTCGGCCACTGATTAATACCAGTATAAAAAATGTAAATAACAAATTTTACAAAATAATAATATTTTTTATAACATCTGTTCCTGCCCTTGTCTTCTTTTTACACCAGATACTGTGATATTAAAAGTGTGGATTGATACAGCTCTTATCCTTCTGTTACAACATAATAATTAGATAATGAAAACAACAGACAACTGGTTAGGAAAAAAACTACCATTTATGTAAAATCAAATAAAACCTCATTCTTTTCTGAGCAATACAATAAACGAAAACAAAAGTTATTTAGAAGTAAACATGGAAAAAACCATTTTCACTTCTCTGTTCGAAAATAGTTGGTTAGTTTTCTCTGCTGGTGGTGTTACTATCTTCTTCTTGGATAACTGTACAAAAAAAATATTTTCTGGTGTTGATGGTTTTTGTTGTTTTTACTTTTTGTTTGTTTTAGACGTTTTTCCAGTCCCTTGCTGACCACTAGACGAGGTAAATTGTTCAGGCATTTTTATATCACTTGAGTGAGATTTGGAAGGCTGGTTTAGCTTATTGAGTACAGCAGCAGCCAATGCCTACACAAAGAATAATGTATACATAGATTCACCTATGGAATGAATTTCTTCGAATGAAATTTACTCAAAGTATTCCTTTCTCAGATAAACTTGAAAAATAGTGAATAAGAGTAAAAACTTGAGAGAGCCAGTTAAATAGACGTCGTGTTATTCACCTAGATTCTTGTCAAGCGCATACAATTAGATCCTGAAGTGGCAGTTATTACATAGTTAAAACCGAATGTGAATTGTACGTCTTTTGCTTACTATGGTGAATGTTTTGCTACTTTCACAATATCTCATTTTTATCACCTATACGAATTGTCCGCCACTCTTCCGTTGTTAGTGAACTAATTAACTCTGATAACCTCTATCTCGAAGTCAATCTCTTAGTGTATTTTCAATTTGTTTAAGATTGTATACAGTCAATAAGATCCGACGAAACAGAATGACATCTTATTGTGCTCAATTTATTGGTTTTCCTTTGTTCAACATTCAGTGTAATTAAAGTAATAATAAGTGAACAGTAGTCAACAAATTTTCGCAACCCAAACTTTCTTGACTCTAGAATAAAAAATGAAGCGCTAGATATTCCTATGATGAATCTTATGAATGCCATTGGCCTGGAAATCCTGCTAGACGAAGGCCTAGCAGCAAGGTCAGTCAGTTCCTTGTGTGTGGCTCCTAATGAATGGAGGCCTGTTAATAATTATCATTTTATGAATTCACCGAAACACATTAACTTATTCAAAATGAATAATCTCCATATGCTAAAGACGACCACAGATCAGGCGGTACCGTTTATGTTTTGTATAGGTGTGCACTAGAAGTACCGATTCACTTGAAATCTTCTTTAGTCGAACTAGACCGTTTTGTGGACTTCACATACAGCATCAATAGAGATGTGACAAATAGTTTTGACTTGATTTTTGTCATTTTCTCAATATCCTCTCGAGGCTTATTGTTTATTTTTCTTCTCAAAGTGAAGGGATACATTCTAGCTTAAGATAAGTTGATTGCAAACAGCTTGTTGTATGCACAAAAGTTACTCTTGTCATGGTCTCAGCTTTACATGCTTGGGAGTGTTAACATGTGTCATCGACAGTTCCAGAGCATTAACGGTCTTATATTCTTCCCCACAAAACGTATCTGACACTCAAATAACTTTGGTACAATCATATGCTGAAACCACTATCTTAAGTTTGGGATAAACTTTTGTTAGTCAAAACTTAACTGTTTGCTTAGCTAGATAGAACTCGTGGATTTCCCATGCTCCAGCCTTTGAGTGACATGTGTTATTCCAGACGTCATAACATTGCTCACATATCCAAGGTGAAATGGATGGGGAAATATTCGGATCCAGGATTCATTTAACTACAGCCTGCTAAACGTTTCATGTTGGCTATGTAATCAGTACACTTTGTTCGTTTAATTTTCTTTATTTATATATGAAAATACGCCTAAGAAAGCTAACTGTCTTGCATAGTGAATACAAAACGAATTTAAGCATCACTCACCGTTTGACTTGCCGATAGAGCAGCTGCAGCATCAGCAGGACTAATATCATTGTTACTAGTCACTCGTTTAACGACTTCCTTGGTATGAGCCTCTGTAAATTTCTCGGCAACATTCAGTTTACTTTGAAAGAAATTCGTGTCAGGTATTATACCGGCAGCGGTTAAACCACTTTTAACTGAATCGTCTAGTGAACTCGTCATTCGTAGTTGACTGGCATGGCTTACAGGTCCCTGTATAGCAGCTTGTCTACCTTCTTCAATCCTCTGGGATGCATGTGCTCTTAACAGTGATATAAATTCTGCTCGATGGCTTCTGTCAGCCGGCCCCCATTCGTGTACAGGTTTCAAGAATTCTTTTAATAACTAGTATAAAAAAAGAGAAAAAATGAAAGAAATCTGTTAGTAAAGTCTTTGCAAATCAGTAGTCATACTGGCCAAGTGATGAAATAAATTACTTTGGAATCTGACAAAGATTCTGATCACAATACACTTACTCCAGATAATCACAATTATTTATGCATGCAACAGTGAATGATTTTAAGCCACCTGACCAAGTTCTAAACAGTGAACTAGCGCTTTCCTAAGACCCCAGTCAGATAATATACAATTGTCTGCATGGCTCAGATGCATAATCAGTTACTTCAGCAATTTATAGCATGTTTTTTTAATTTGACCAATCTTACTCTTTTCAAGTTAATTCTATCTCAGAAAACATTATTTTCTGAAGAAGAAGACGGTAGTTTGACAATTCAGCCCATAAGGTTTCATAACCCTTATCAACAGATTTATCCTCCCCAGCTAAGAATTTACATCTAAAGACGTACAGTTAAAGGTAAGCACGAATGACCAAATAATACAAACACTTCTATCATTCATATTTAGCCATCATTCCTCACGGACACAAAATAAGACAGATTGAACTATTATTCAGGAATTATCTTAGGAATGCCTATTACAAGGTGAACATGCTTCATAGAATTCTCTTTGTCTTACTTTACGGCTTCAAGATCTTGAAGATGTAAGAGACTGGATGTATTTTATCTTAATGAATGGTTTTAAGCAGGGTAAATCAGTTCGATACTATTGTCTGACTCTCAACACCTTGTCTGTTTTCTTGATGATATTAATATTATGAATAGAAATATGTACTCTTTTGATGTAAACTCTTTATTCAATGCTTAAAACAAATGACATTTTGTGTGATTACATTTCCACACACAATTTTTTCATCCCGTTCCCTATATCTTATTTAAGGAATTTATTACTTCTATGTACCAGCAATGTTAGATTTACATTTGAAGGCGATTGTTTCCTTCAGGTTGATGGTGTTGCTATGGGAAGTGCATCAGGGCCCTTTTTTTAGCAGATATTTATATGTCGCACATTGAGAGTTTGTCGGAAGATTTAATCGAAAATGTAACACTTTATAGAAGCTATGTAGATGACATTGTAATCAATTTTAAATCTAATGAATGAAGTTCAGAAGAGCATATTACTTACGTCTGTAGAAGAGGAAAATAAGTGTTTATCTTTCCTAGACATATTGCTTAGTCGACGGCTTGACGGGTCAATAAAACGGCCTATCTGTAGATAACCTACCTGGAGAGGACAGTATCTTAATTATCACAGTTTTTACCCTGTTCGGTACAAAAGAGCCTCGGTAAGGTGCCTCTTCAGTAGAATCCAACGAATATGCACTGAAGACACGCTTGATGAGGAAGTTGACACAAACTCTGATCGATAACAATCATCCAAACAAGTTCATCAGGAGATATAAAGTAGTCAGTGGAACATCAAGACGCACTCTTCAAATCGCCCCTAAGAAAGACGTGTACATCAAGCTACTCTATATGTGACATCATAGCAGCTTGATAACTAGACAAAGACTGAACGCTACTGTTAAAAAGACTTTTTATGCAGCCAATATCATAATAATTGAGAATGTGAATGCAAATATTTATCTAAGCCTTTTGAACATGAAAAAAATGCTGTCGCATCCCACTGTATTTACCAATCTGAATGTTCGTATGGACACACATACCAAGGGAAGGACTCATCAATCTCTACAAGTAAGGGCTTCAGAGAATATACCTAAATGGCTCCAGAAGCAAATAGAATCCCCAGAACCCATTAATAGTGAGAACAGGAGACCTAGCTCGTCTATTGTGAAACATATTATAGAGACAGGACATAAAATTGACCTATACACATTTTTTAAACCTATGTATAAAACGTGTTTCGGGCTTCTCCTAAAGTTTGTAGAAGCCCTAGCTAGCAATTAGGAAGTTTAAACCACCTTTATGCTTTCAAAAACAATTCGTCATCACACTAAACCTCCCTCGGTAAACTTTGTTTTGATACCAGCCAGGGCAGATGTACTATTACCTCTGTTATTTGATTTAGTGGTCTTCATTTTCTTTTTGACCTTCACTATATGCTTTTAACTTGACCTAAAATTTATTTTCTCACCTCCTAACTCTTTATTAATTTGATGTATACTCCTATGATAAGTCCGTATGTGATCAGATTGTTCGAAATGTGTTACGCAAATACATTACATGATTCAGACAAATTACATCTTCTTACTGCTTTGTCTAAACCCTGTCTATTCACAACTCTCCCCTTCCCTCTCATCATCAAGTAGGAGTAGAAGTCATTATAAAAAATTATATGCTCGTACAAACAAGTACAAAAACTCAATGATACCCTAGTCGACCCGCTGACGATCTGTGTGACTGAGATAATGTTAAGCATGAAATCTATAACCTACAGTGTAATTAACAAAATAATTGGATCTTATACTCTCTCTCCCTGTTCGTAATTTACGGTGGCACTATTTCAATCGCCTTATAGTTTTATTTATTGAAATTATTATTATCAATTTTCGTTACCTATACCCCTAATGAATAATTTGTTATTATTGTTGAGTAAATTAGATGTAATATTGTAGCAAATGTCGAGAGTTTCACACTGTATCATAAGTTACGTTTTGAAATAAAGCAAATCATTATTAGCATTATTAATTGTCTATGTTCCATGTGTCTAAAATGAACAATAAAGTTTCTAGTCTGATTCATCATCAACTTACAAGGAATCCACCTTCACTGCAATAACCATATAAGAAGCTGCCAACAATTAGCATAAAAGGAACACAAGATAGGAAATCATAAAGCACATAAGTCCATGACGGGAAAACGTAACCAAATTCTGCCATTACAGGTCTTTTAACCATTGCAGATATCGTTAGAAAGAGGGCTATCATTGGAGCAAAGAATCCCCAGCATACTTTCCAGTACCAATTAGGTCTTTCGTTGATCATCATTTCAATATCACGTCGAAATTGTTTCAAACCTAAAATGGGGGTAGAATACAAAATAAAATAAAAGATAATAAAAAAAATAAAGAGGTTCCTATCTGACTGAGGAATAGTTACTATGGGAAAACACTTTAAAACTGCAATACTTAATATGTCTGATTAGTTGTTTTATTCTCTTGCTCGTTTAGTAGTAAGAAAACCTAGATTATGATTATGTTTTAGTTATATTACTCATAATACTCACTAGTCTACCCATAAAATCATCGTGAAGGCCTCTACACCTTATCAAATCAAAACTGAATAACATTTCCAGTAAGTACGCTACGGTCAGGTACAAAGGGAAGTTCTGTGTCAAAACTTCCTCAAAAAGTATGCATTCTTGTGCACCAGTGGTTCAATGGTAGGTTGCGCGCCAGCCATACAAGTGCTCCGGGTTCGACTCCCGGTCGGAGCATTCCTAAAAACGTTGCATAGTTTACTAGCCTATAGTAGGCCTGCAAAAGAGGGAAGGGGCTAGCAACCTTAACCCGCTACTTACAATCCAAAGCTTGCGACTTGAAGCAAATAAATGAGAAAGAAAAAAGATGTCATTACTCTTAAATTACGAAAACGTGTGTTATCATATATATGCCAAAACAAGGGAATAAACATTTAGACACACTGATATTTCTGTTGATTAGTTCAGGTTGTCAGCACAAAATTAGATTTTAACCAATCAAAATATTATTGTGATGATGAATTATGATTTGCGGTAGACAAACGCGATGGCCAAATAGTTATTCAGCCGCAGAGGCTTATTCATAATGTAAGCAAAACACATCTTTTAGCACTCAGCAAGGGAGAAACACAAAACTCAGATCTACACACTGATGTCCTACCGAACAATCCTTTGCACTCCCAGTGAAACGTAGAGCTTCGAGCTGGAGCTCTGATTTTTGAGTAGCAGTGGTGTTTTTAACGAGATGGGGTTGCTAGCCTCACTCTCAACCTTCCCTCTTTGCTGAGCTTACTACCTGCAATGCAAAAGTGCGTCGGCCGGGGATCGGAACCCGGACCACTTACTTGGTTGGCCAGTGTTCTACCAGTGAACCACTGATATACACATACATACATGTGTAATAGAAATCCACGGAGCAGTATAAAAACACCACAATAATCAAATGACATTTTTTCATTAAGTACTTAATAAATAGTGTCAGCGTAATTATGGAGTGAACTGTATTCGGTCGTATACAAAACACACCACTTTTCACATTTGCATTCCTCACTAAACCATTCATATCACAACAAACGTATATCTAAATCATCACGATTTTTTTATTTCTAGCAGGACATTTAAACTTTACATTAGAAGACATAGTTTTACCTCACATCAGAATAAGATAATACTAACCATCCAATAATAACTAAGGATGAATAGAGGCTTAGATGTAAAAATATTCATTATGTTAACAAATAATTCAATAAAACTTTTAAAAAAAGTATGAAATCTAATAAAGCTATGTAAGGTTGGTGGCAGTGTGTTCAAACACAAGGATATACACAAAGCGACATGGATTTCACCAGATGGACACACCAAAAACCAGATAGACTTCATTTCAATCTCAAGGAAGCGGAGACGGAGCCTACTGGACACAAGATCGAGGAGAGGAGCAGATGTGGGTTCAGACCACTATCTAGTACAAGGGACTTTCAAGGTGAAGCTAAAAGCCTCGAGGATACCTGGGGATAGGCCACAATGCAAGTTCAACACTCAAAACTGAAGGACACAATCACAAAGGACACTTTCACTGCAACTGTCAGAGCAAAGCAGGAAACACTACGTGGCACCACTGAGGAGTCATCCGTGGAAGACCATTGGAACTCTCTGAAGGTAATTTTCAACGAAACGTGTTCAACGGTTTTAGGAAGAAAGAAGAGACAAGACAAGGAATGGCTCTCAACGGACACTTGGAAGCTAATAGAGGAGAGGAGAATGGTGAAAGAGAAAATGATTCAATGCAAAGACGGACAAGAGAAGGAGACGCTGAGTTCAACTTACACAGCACTGGACAAAGAAGTGAAGAAGAGTGCCAGGAAGGACAAAAGACAATTCTACGACAACCTGGCCACTGAAGCTGAGAAGGCAGCAGGCAAAAGGGACCTGAGGACACTATATCAGATAACCAAGTCTCTATCCGGGAAGAGATCAACACAAGTGAAACTTATAAAAGACAGCCAAGGGAACCCAATTACCAAAGAAGAAAGACAGATTAAACAATGGGCGGATCACTTCAAAGGACTCTTGAACCGACCACCACCTGCAACCCGTCCAGAAATACCAACAACAGCACGTACACAACTGCAAGTTGACACCAATCCTCCAACGAAAGCTGAAGTCTTGAATGCAATCAAGCTCCTGAAAGCTAGAAAAGAGGCTGGACCAGAAGGAATACCGCCTGAAGCACTGAAAGCGGACCCAGAGACGACAGCAGATATGCTGACTCCATTATTGCAAAAGGTCTGGAAGGAGGGAAAGGTGCCTACTGACTGGAGGAAAGGTTACCTTGTGAAACTACCAAAGAAGGGCGACTTAGGACTCTGCAAGAACTGGCGAGGAATCATGCTCCTGTCGACGCCAAGTAAAATCCTGAGTCGCATCATCCTGGAGAGAATAAAGGACGCACTGGATACAGAACTCCGACCAGAACAAGCTGGATTCAGGAAAGGCAAATCATGTTCTGACCGAATTGCAACTCTACGCATCATCATCGAACAAAGCATGGAATGGCAATCAAACCTCTACCTCAACTTCCTATAGACTTTGAGAAGGCCTTCGACAGCGTTGACCGCGAAGTAATTTGGAAACTACTCAAGTACTACGGCGTACCCCAAATATTCATCAACCTTATTCAACAGCTGTACGACAACGGCACATGTCAAGTGATCCACAACGGAAAACTCAGCGAGGCGTTTGCAGTAAACACAGGAGTCAGACAAGGGTGCTTATTATCACCAGTGATATTCCTAATTGTGGTGGACTGGATTATGCGTCAGACAGTGGGAAACGAGAAGACAGGGATATCCTGGACCGACGTGAAGAACCTAGAAGACCTGGATTTTGCGTGGATGATTTATGTTTGATGTCACACAAAATCGAAGACTTACAAGCGAAAACCGACAAACTGGTCGAAGAAGCAGCAAAGACAGGACTCCAGGTGAACATAGACAAGACGGAGGTTATGAAAATAACCAACCAACAACAACAACAACAGCAGCAGCAACATCCAGCGCCAATCACCATCAACGGGAGGGATTTGAAAGAGGTTACTTCATTCACTTATCTAGGGAGCATTGTCTCAACTACAGGAGGAACGGACGAGGATGTCAAATCGAGAATCGGGAAGGCGAGAAACACATTCATCAACCTGAAACCAATCTGGAAATCTTCGTCACTCAGCATCAACAACAAAATTCGGATTTTCAATACAAACGTCAAGTCAGTCAGTTCTTCTATACGGATCAGAAACTTGGCGGGTCACAAAGAATATTTCCAACAGGTTGCAGACCTTTATCAACAACTGTCTTCGCTCTATACTGAAGATCAGATGGCCGGAAAGAATCACCAACAAGAAACTATGGGAACAAACAAAACAAGAACCAATCGCCCAACAAATATGCAGGAGAAAGTGGAGATGGATTGAACACTCGCTGAGGAGGCCGCTGGGTGACATCGCGCATCAGGCCATAGCTCGAGTGGAACCCGAAAGGGAAGCGGCGAGTGGGACGTCCAAGGGTGACATGGAGGAGATCGTGTGAAGAGAAGTTGAAACAGTATGGAATAACATGGATGCAGGTGAAAAGTACAGCAGAAGACAGAAGCAAGTGGAGACGTGCAGTTGAAGCCCTATGTTCCACTAGGAACCCAAGGGAACAATAAGGTTGGAGCATCAAAAGAAGATGAGTCAAGGAATAGGTGAAGGTGAAAGGTTGTAGGAACTTACTGAATTGAAAATTAAAGTAACTGTTGAAATTAATTCATTAAATGCACGTTGACTGACTCAAGGCAATCATCAGGAAGCCTTCAGCCTAAAAACTTTGCTTATTAACACTAGCCAGCTAGATGTATATTCAGTCGTGGTGGAAATAATATCCCCTTAAAAGTTGAAATTGGTCTTAAAAAGTGCTGCTGTCAGACGAATCGCCACTGAACTTTCCAGGCACTTGCAAACTGCAAGAAGTAGTTGAAAGAGCAGTTGCACTTAATGAGTAGTTTTTAAACTGTTAAACATTCATTATCCTAAACATTGCTATTTCCACTTGAAAATGAAATCACAACAGCAACAATAATATTGATAACTTCCACATTTTAAAGCTAAGTGGCTCATTGATCTCTGAAGAACTATATCAATTTTATCTAACAGATGGCACCGAAAATAAACTCACCATACACATAAGCGATGACAGATGATTCAAAAAATGCGACAACCAAAGGACCATAATTACTCATTACTGTATCGTATATTGTCAATAGGTAATAGCCACCAGCACACACCATTGGTAGTCCCATCATGCAATCGAATAAGCACACTGAAATCCTAGAGTGGTTAGCAGATCAATTAATTATTAAAACAATTAATCCCTTTGGTAAATTTGAATAAGGCATTTAGAAGACAAATTTCGCGAGATGATATCATTTCCTAGTTTCTTTACAACCGCTTTACAACTAACATGGTTAACAATAATAAAATAAAATAGAATAAAGTTCATGACAATTACTCAATTATGTAAAAAACAAAAGTACATACTAATGACCAATCATATTTAACTAGGTCAAGTAGTCCATGGTAGGCGAAGATTGAAGTCTGTTGTTTTTTGTACACACAGTTTAGGCTGTATGTGATTAATCCAAAGTGCTTCCATCACCTTCAATTTCCTGGATATTACAATAACCAGGAGAGATGATGGAACGATTCAGCGATCTATTTTTCGTAAACAGACAGAGTGGAGAATATCTTCATTTTACCAGTTTTGTTCCTATACAGTATAAATGTTCCCTAGTGAAATGTTTGTTCTCAAGGGCCCAAAAAATATGCACGAGTGACACATTGATGGATGAGTTTCGACATATACATTCAGTTTTATTAGCTAATGGTTATCTGGAAAACTTTATCACTTGTCACGGTAAAGAAAGATGACATCTTGAAAAGACAGCTTCTGTACCAAAGAAAGCTATCTTTATTAACCTACCATTCAAGGGTGACCAGATTATGCAGTTGACAGCTCAAAGACTTCGGTCAGCCATCAAACGCACATTCTACGCCACCTCTCTTTTTCTCATTTGCCGAACATTTTCGATCCCTGTACCTACGATTAAAAGACGAAATTCTGTGGACTCTACTTCACACTGTATCTACAAGTTCACCTGCAGCTGCGGTGACACCTACAAAGGTAGAACCAATAGGATGTTCCAATGTCGTCGAAAAGAACATGTTCCAAAATGGATACTAAATCATATAGAAAATCCCAATGCGATTAATCTGAATAGAAATCCAGCATCATCCATTGCAAAACACTTATTAATGTCAGGTCACAAAATCAATATTAATGACTGTTTCACAATTATTTCACATAACTCTAATTCAAGGTTATTGAAGGTGATGGATTAATCACATACAGCCTAAACTGTGTGTACAAAAAACAACAGATAGTAATTGAATCAAATTAGGAGAGTAAATTATAATAAAAAGTATTCACTTCTTAAAATTAAAAAAATAAAATATATTAAATTTTTCTATACCAAACTAAATATGTTTGTAAATTTTGTATATTTCAGAATTTAAAAGTTTTTTATAATAAACCTCTGTTATGTTAATTTCGATTAATTTCCCTGAAGAAGTTCGGACCAGATTGCCGACGAAACGTTGGAATTACTCGTTTCAATCTGCTGAGATTTTACAAATATAATTTTTTACAAAAAACGCAGACTTCAATCTTCGCCTACCATGGACTACTTGACCTAGTTAAATATGATTGGTCATTAGTATGTACTTTTGTTTTTTACATAATTGAGTAATTGTCATGAACTTTATTCTATTTTATTTTATTATTGTTAACCATGTTAGTTGTAAAGCGGTTGTAAAGAAACTAGGAAATGATATCATCTCGCGAAATTTGTCTTCTAAATGCCTTTTTAAATAATTATCAAAAAAAACCGATGGTATTGGGAAAATATCTGTTAACAATGTGAAACATCAATTTTTTTTTCGACAGTAGTGTTGACTGTCGTCAGCTTTAGTTAATTCCACCTAATTTCTTTTAATGTTTTAACCTAAGGAGTACAATGAAGTACGTATGGACTACCACTTTCTTGCCAATCAAGTAGCCGGTTCCTCTTAAATCATAAATCAAATATGACATGTTATGCATAGGAGAACTGTAATCTACCAGACGTTCTGAAAGATATTAACTACTCACCTATTGATGACATTCACAAATTGCTCAATAGCGAAAATTATCTTTAATAAGTAGAAGTTAATTTGGCAGTACAAACAATGTGAATGTAACACATATGGTTAATCGCGACAGAGGCGTTAACAGGAGTGAAATAATCAGATGTTTAATGAAAATCAGCTGCGGCTTCACCAAGACAATTTTCATACTAACAAGTTTTAAAATTGACAAACAATTGAAAATCTGTTAAAACGTATTCTCTCTCACTGCTTAATCTCTAATTGTAATGCTTCTCTTTGTGGTTGTGTGTACACTAATAATGTGTCGTCTTATGATGTGAGTTTGTTTGAGTAAATATACATTATTCTTATCTTGAACTGTCTGTGGGAAGCACTGATGTGTGATTCTTGTGGACAGAGTTTTGATCCCATCCTGTTGTGAATTCTGATTAACTCGTTTTATTCTACAGTACGTTTTTGCACTTCGAAATGTCCTTTATCTGCATAGCTGCCTAGCGGCACTGTTGAGGCAATTTTGAGTCCTTGATGTTACTACTGTTGAACTAAACGATATATTTATCTAAGAATAATCATCCTTTTACTCTCTTTTTGGAGAGTCTGTGACTGTGCGTCTCTCAGGGATGCTTTGGAAAGTACAATCCAAGCATCGGTTCCTTGCGTTCAGATCACAATTAGTCGGTTTCGGTCCGTACGTATTTTACGATAATGACTAAAAGAGACTTATAAAGTTGAGCTTTTGTGGTAGACAAATGAGAGTTGAATCAAACAGAAATATTGGTATGATCTTACTTTCTTTACTTTAAAAATATTTAACATATATGAACATCGAGTTCAGTGATAATCTACTTTGCTGTACAGTAGATACATTGGCTGTTTGACATGAACACCATTGTGTTTGGTTATCGAGAGATAGACGCGAATCCACAAAAAGCGTAGTAACTGAACATTATACAAATACTGCTCATTCTATATCGCGCTTCTTCAAAGTCACTGAGAAGGTGAAAAATACTTTGACTGAATTATCGGTAGTCATTAATGTCATACGTCTAGACCTTGGTGCTAGTGAGGATTGAATTCCACCAGTCAAGTTTGAAATATGGCCACAGTGCTAGGTGGCCCAACATCGAAGTGCACTCTGAACTGTTGCCACTAGATGGTTGGAGGCGATCAGCGGGAAGCCTCAGGTCTAGGTTTTGTGCTTGTGTCTGCACTTATCAGAAAGGTGTATCTGAAAATTCAATGGGCTTCTGGTACTTTCTACTAATTATCTTCAGTCATCTAAGAATAATTTGAATAGTGCATCGTAATGGTTAGTCAGCTAGCTCGGTGACCATACTGCGAAATCGACTGATAGCCTAATTAAATTTATTTCACTGAAAACATTATGTGTGCTTGCAACTGCATAACAGACGGAAATGAAGAGCTTCTCTTCTGAATCACATGTTTTCTCACCTCCATTGAATAAAATGGTAACCACTTCAATATATATATATATACTCATTACATATACATACCGGAACAGCATTTTGCGTTTCTCTGTTAAATTAAACCCATATTTTCTTAGTTCATCTTGTACACCAGAAAGTGTTGTCTCCAAAATTGAGAATTGTGAACCAAAACCAAGTGTCATCATCATCAGGAAGAATAAAACTGACCATAGACTAGAAAGTGGCATATGTGTTAGCGCTTCAGGATAGACAACGAAAGCAAGTCCCGGACCTTCGTAAATGTATCATAGATTATGAGAATTCATAGAAGAGGTGTTTTGTTTTTACATATTTTCACAGCTGAACTATTGTGTAAAACATTTATTAAGTAATCATACATATTCTCAATGTAAAAGTAATAAAAGTGACTCCCAGCTACTTTATATCTCATTACAGCGAGATCTGTTATTCAAAGTGGACAGTTAGTTGAAACAGATATTGCCAGTCAGTAGAAATATGCCTAAATACTTTGTAAAAAAAACGCCTGTTTTATCCCTTTATCTGAATCAAAATAAAGCTTTCAGAAATAAGCCTGATGTACAAGTAACTAGCCCAGAATATGCAACAGAATATATTTATGGTTTTCACTAAACAATACAAAAACTATTCCATCTCTAAAATTATCAGTTTTTTTCTTCATACTAGTCACCCTACTGTTACCTGTAATACTATTAGGGACAGAAGTGACAGAACACCCTGGTCCAGCATTTCGTATAACCTCTGAACAAATAGTTTGAAGGCAAACAACAAATGATGGAGTTACAACTCACTCGAAATAGATTACAATTTATGGGGACACAATAGATTTGAATTCTGCCTTTCAACTTCAAAGTGCGATAATAATTAAAGTGAGGAGATGTTATTTTATATCTGAACTGACGCGACTGAATTTTGCAGGGCCAATGTGAGATCTGCAAGAGGCTGTAATCCCACTGAATCGGATAATCAAGACTAAAAACTTCTATTAACATTTTAAATGAGTATAACAATAGCTTATATATATATATATATTATTATTATTGAAGACTTTATACAATATTATTTATTTGTCTGCTAAGCTCTGATATGCTTTTCGTTCTTCCAGTGTTGCTCTTCACGTTGGATAACTGCATTTTTATTTGAATCCCTGTCCGTTTACCTTAGCAATATTATAAAGATAGCTTTACTTGTTAGACGTCTTATGTGTTTCCAGCATAGTACTAGAAACTATTAAGACCGGTGGTGGCTTGTTTATATTCTAAAACTGCAGAAATACAAATAGTAATTGAAAAGGTATTTCATTTGAAGTAATTTGGTGGATGGAGTCCAAGATACGCATTTCGTTCTACTTGGGACTCGCCAGCTGGATATGCCTACATTCCACAGTAAGTGATGGCGTTCCCCCTGAATCCGAAACCCAGTAATTACCGTTTCAAATGCCACATGTACATCCAGATAACTAGTCCCAGATTCCACTGCTAGCCACCATCCGCCAAATTACTTCAAGTTGATCCTCAGACATCGTTGAAGTATCCGCATAAGGAGCCGACATGTCAACAGAGGTCAAACATTTCCCTCCAGTGTATCAACGGGAAAATCAAAATTGCTGAGAAATATTGTAACTAGGGAATTTCACTTTGATTTCATTCATTTTGACGACAACGTACAGTGACACTGCCTCGAGTTATTTTCAAAAGTCTTAGAAGTACTGGAAAGATGCAGTCTTCAGATTTTCGATATCAGGGAGGGAGGGGGAGATATGAGTAGGCATCTTCGGAATCTACTTCATGGCTAAAACTAACAATAATGAACTATCTATTGTGAAAATGATCTTAATTAATCCTACCTTTCATCATCTGCCTAATCGCGTAAACCAGAATCGTTCATTAGTAATGGATATTGTCTGTAAGGCAACGACATATGTTTAACACAGGCTACCATTATTCGAAAACACATCCTCGCACATTCTCTCGTCTTCAGTTAGCATGAAAGGACAAACTAAGAAAACCAATTAAACGAACAGCTTATAACCACACATTCTTCTGTTCAAGTCCACTTTATCTACTTCTCTTACGAGAAGCATAATAAAGTTAAGAATTTATAATATAAGTGGGTAAAATATGTTCATAAGTGTTCATCTATTTGTAGGTATATGACGCTAGAGTTGGGTTTTTTTCTAACTGTGTAGAGAACTGTTATTATGTAGCAAAGAAAAAAATATAATATATATATATACCATGTTATGAGAAATCATATGAGTACAATAGATTAAAAGAAGTAATAGTAACAAAATGTGAAAAAGATAATACAAAGCAAGAAATCGTCCAATATTTTAGTAACACACATTAACTACTGAACATTATTCACTCGTACACTTTATCCTAATAATGTTTGTCACTGAAGCGTGTGAAACCGAAAGAAAGTGGTAGCATGGTGCATCGATGTGTAAATTTACTCAGTGGATATACTTTATAAAAATATTCTAAACCCCAATATAAGCCATGGTATGAAAAGCGCATCTACAAATGTCCTAGCATCACATAAGTCACGTACATGTTTTTTCTCCAGTTTCCCTTTTTAGTAGAACATATGGAGCATACTGTACTACATAAGACGAAATGTCTATTAAAACGTCAACAGGGTAGGATTATTTTGGTTATACATATGGTTCTCGCTCTCCCTAGATATTCTGCTAGGTGTAAAACATTTCTATTGAGAGCAGTTTCTGCAAGTGAATCCACAGGAATGTTTGATTGTTATATTAGTGACTGTTTCAAAAGTAAAAACATAATTCTACTTAGTATGCTGAAGTGCCTCGTAAATCCACCTTCGTATTGTCAGAAAATAAAGTTATTCAAAAAACTACTTTGAACAATTTATTGATATTGATATCTACCAGGGTTCTTGAGAAGATAGAAGAACGGAAAACAGTGATCAACTTACCACCTGAAGCAACAGCGGCGACTGTAGTATTTTTTTTATAAGCCATAAAGCCTAGGTTTGTAAAGATAACAAATCCCGCATAAACAGATGTTGCACAGTTAATCACAGCGACTAACACCGCATCCCTTTAAAAAAAGTTAGGCAAAAAGAGAAGATTCTGAGCAATCTATTCCTTGAAGACCGCCTTTCTACACAAAAGTCAATAAAAAGGTTAATGGTGAAAATTTAACAAAATGTCTGAGAAGAATCTTCAGCAATAATTGTTCATTCAGTAGCCAACCAATATTCAGTTCGCAAAATACAGAAAAACTGCCTGATTTCGCCCCCTCCATGTTCATCTACCAGATTAGCTGCTCTTGTAAAGCTATTTACATTGGGTGTATGATTAAGCAAGCCAATAATTGAACTGCAGACACTATTCGTCTTCGTTAAGGAAAGGGTTGAATAAAGCGACATGTAGCTTCATACTGATTCACCTTGTTGATCAAGTCGACACTAAAAGAGCTTATAAAGTTTTGTTATCTCACTTCACCTGACCTTTCTTATGCTTCACACACCCGAATTTCACATACCGAAGAGGCAATTGAAATTCATTTGAGCAAGCCAAATTTACGTGTTCCAAAGAATTCTGTACAATCTATTTCTTTATCTGTGTCCATCCAAAAATATACACAGAGTCTTAAAAATGACCTTTTTCCCTGTCCTTATAATTATTATTTCACATTTTACGCTTGTGATTTTATTATGATTTCTGTATGCAGAGTGACGAAGTTAACTGTGATGACTTAGTCATGTACCTGGCATATATAAAACTAGTTTATTTGAACTAAACAGCATCAAGTATCGAATAGTGTCTGGTTCACATTATTTTAAACACCGTCATAATGTCATTGTTAGCAGTCGTCTGCTGGTTACTAACTCAATTTGTAAAAGGACAGAATGGGCACACAAGAAGACACAAGATTAAACATTCAGAACATTATCATCACACATACCTGCAACAGTTGTTCTTGAATTTATTATAACTTGAAACTGTAATCAGACCACCATTACAACAGCCTAGAGAGAAGAAGATTTGTGTTGCGGCGTCTGTCCATACTTTAGGATCAGATAAACGTGAGAAATCAGGTGTTAGATAAAACAACACTCCTGTTCCGGAACCGGGAAGAAGAATACCCCGGACAAGAAGGATGCTTAACATCAAATATGGGAAGAGGCCTGTGACATAGGACACCTACAGTAGCAGAAAGTAAAGTAAATAGCTCAAAAAACCTACGTTGCATAGCTTACACACAAAAAAACTAGCTAAATTTCACTGAAACAAACATATGTTTAGAAAGTCAAAATATTTAAAAGAAAGAAACAGGATATGTTTGCAAGGGGACGGAAATAATCTTATCTATATCAAGCAATGTGTCCGTCCGTTGTTGACAGTTTCCTCAGCCCACTCGTGCTAGCTGTCTACAGACTCACTTTCAGTAGGAAGAAACAAACAGAGGATAGTCTACATGATATATACATTTGCACATCACTAGATTTAATCTGTAGTATTTCATTTCTCTCCAGAAGATGAACTTGAGATGTCTGTCGTGACGTAAGTTCTGACTTCTGATGGTTGTTATCATCTCCTAGATCCAAAAAGTTAGAAGTTAGAATTCATGGGCCATTAGATCAGGTCCCAGTGGCTTAATGGTATGCGAGCTCGCCTTGTAACCAGAAGGTTCTGGTTAACCTGGGTGCGTACTGCTGAAGAGTCCCAAACTAGGACAAAACAGCTGTCCAGTACTCCTTGGTTGTTTTCCAATGGTTCTCTAACTAGTGTCAGCTCATGATGAAAATCCTGTAACCAATTCAACTTGTTTGTTGAAAATACCTTTTGTGAGACACATACTAATTCTGTAGCCCATATGGAAGAACTGATTTGACGCTGGTGTTGAAAATCCGAATTTTGTCCTTCACACTGAGTGCAGTGGATATCCAAATTGATTTGAGGGTAATAAAGGCCTCTTTTCCCTTTCCGATTCTGGTTTTGACACCTTAATCCACTCCGACTGACTATGGTTGAAACTGTGCTTATTGTTGTAGCGGTTCGTTGGTTATCTTCACCACCTCCATCTCCTCTATGTTCATCTGGAGTCCTGTCTTCGTAGTTTCGCATTTATGTGACGTTACACATAAATTGCCCGTGAAGTCCAAATCTTCTACAGTCTTGTTATCGGTTCAACGTACTTGTGTTTTCACGTTCCCCACACACGATATTGCTCATAATCCAGTCAACCAAAACGATGCGTGATCGTAGGCAGCCTTGTCTTACTCCTGTATTCACCTCAAATACTTCGCTTTTTCCCCCAGTGGGTCATTTTGTATCAACAGAAGGTAAGACACGGAAACCAAGGTGTATTTTTCATTAATCAAACCGCTGCTTATATATCTACACAGTTTATATTCGTTAACCAATCACTGAGCGTGTGACTTCGGTTTGCATCAAACGACATGAAATAGAATTTTCAAATAAACGTAGTATTCTTTTGTTAATGCAGTATATAACCATGGCAAATTTATTCTGTCTAACATCAAATCGAATGTTCAAACAGATGCATTGTATGCAGTATTGAACTGTGGGAATATGTGAAAATAATATTCCGTTCGCACACCTTGTCTGTATCCCACCATCACAATTTGACATAATTCATTTTCATGCAGCAGCTGAATGCAGCTGATAAGGATTTGGTGCTCTCCATAGTGTTGAGTTAGTTTTCAAATTTCTTCGTTGTCAGAGCTGTTGAAGGCCTTTTAAAAATGACAAAGTTGAGATAAAGATTTGACTGGTATTCTATGGTGTGTTCGATAATGATGCGTAGAGTTGCTATTTGACCAACATGTGACTTGCTTTCTCTGGAACTTCAATGCATGCCAAAAATGTCTTATAATTTAGCATTATTCTGTTTCGATTCTTCTATTATTTTGTATTTTTTCTCAATATTTGCCAAATGAACTGAAACACCTTTCTGTAAAGTTCCAGGTACAACCCTAAGTTAGACGGTTGTTGAAAAGTGAACTACTTACAGATCTTTATTCGCAAAAGCAGACAGCATGTGTAAACTGAGATGTAGTGCTTATTTGCACTACTAAGCATATTACGACTTTTAGGTTTCTTCTCTCAGAATTACTTAGTGGAGTAAACTTCATCATAATATGAAAATGAAGTTTGTAAGACTTATGTGACTAGGACAATAATAACAAAAAGCAGTACTAATAATGATTGGAACTCTAAGGTAAAAGCTCATCCTAGTTTAGAAAAACCAAATAAATTGTGTCTCAAAAATTGTTTAAATTGAATATTATAAATTAAAAGGTGAGATACTATATAGAGAAAATAATAAGATGAGATAATTAAGAGAGAAAAACATGAAAGGAGCATTGGAACACTGTTTCCTGCAACCCGGGCTGATTTCAGTGCTAGACACAAATGTAGAGTGAATCAATTCATACTAATATAAACCTTGTTTTTTCCACGTAAATGTCAAGTTCGATTACAAGTCAGGTCCTTACTTCAGAATCTAACACTCACCAATACAGTTATGCTGTCTGACGATCACACAAATCTTCAGTGTAGGCCAACTGAGGTCATCTTCAGTTCCCTTAATTTAAATATTGAAATCCCTATTTTATCTGATGATATCAAAAAGATATTAGAAAACATGCAGTCGAGAGAGGGAGAGAGAGACAGCTATTGTTACCATTTCCACAGTAATGTAAACTGTAATAAAAAGTAAAGTTAACAGAAAATCATTGTGGTTTTTCAGTTTTACAGTTCAGTTGGTAGAATGGGAAACAAACGAGGAGCTAACCGATCAGCTAATCTCTTAATTACATTCCCCTATAAACCATGTTTCCTACTATTTTTTTTATTGTAATCCTGAAAATTTTAAAATGATAAGAATTACTGCACAATGCAGCTTATAATATTGAATAAACAAGTGTTGACTTGTAAATTTAGTCTTACTTAGGGTTTACAGAACTGCAAGTATCATACAACTTATTACTTACTTTGCCCAATGACTGAACTCCTTTGATCACAGCAAGTGCACATATAGTCCACGCACAGAACAGTAATAATGCTAATTCCCAACTTGGTTGTCCAAAATCCTCGAAACCAGATGACAGTTTAAGAACGCGATTGCTTATTTCACAATAAAACAACATTTCTATTAGTTCAAAGAATATTATGGTTAATTAAACAATGTGGAACACTAACTAACGGTATTACAATCATAGCTTATGCACCATAAATGCTTAACACTTGGAGGTTGAATATATATCCCTTTTATAGTACAGACTGATCAATGAATGATATTATTATTAGTAGATACCGAATTAACAAGCATGCTATTCGACCTTCCATGAAAGGATTATAATACTGAATGACCATTGAAATTGAAAGATATGAAAAGATTAACCGTTTTCCGACCGAAACAGCCCCCATTAAATCTGTTTTCTTAGGTGGATCAATATGCTCAGTTACAGTGGCACTGTATTGACCAGGTAGAGTTTCTTTATGCATTGCTGTTACTCCATTTAATATAACTGAGAGAGATACAAGATATTGTTGTTATTATTATTAGTGTCTAGATTACACTATAAACGCAATTTTCTGGCTATATTAAGTATTTCTACCCAATGATGTTACCCAGATACCTTTTTACATATATAATAACACTAGATAAAAGAAAGTCATGATGAAGAATAAACAGTTATGGTAACACAGAATCAAATGAATTAACTTATAAACATTGGTCAGCTTGAATTTCACGGTTATAGAGAAAAAAAATAAATTACTGATCGAATCGATGTACTCCAAAGTAATTGCTACAACTTTCAGATATTCATCCATGAAAGTTTTTAATAAAAGGTCTGAAAGAATCTCATAAACGACGGTTTTGTTAAATAATAAACTAAGTGCTTTTTTATTATAAGGTGGACAGATATAAAACCAGTAAAAATCAATAACATTTAAAAAAAAGATGCTATTTGTCTGATAAAAGGAATAAATACATCGATAAACGAGAGAAAAAACACCATGATGTAGATTAAAAGCTTTTTATTAAAAAAAATCATAGTGACCGAATGAATAAATGAATGAAGTATGGTTTTACAGCCAATTAAAAACTCACTTGTAATATTCTTCTGTTGGGGATTTCGCCTTTGTAGTATTAGTTAGATTACCTAAAGATTAAGACAAATACTATGAAAAAGGCTTAAGAACAAAAGAAAGTAAGTAGTAAGTGAGAAGAAAAAGCGGAAAAAATTGAACATAATCCAATCAAAATACCAACGATAGTGCATAGAACACAGGAACAGCTCTGCTATTATCACAGTCAAATTCAATCAATACGAAAGTAGCTTACTTAAGCAATTGGAAAAAAACTTAGAGAATTTATAAACCTTATACAAAATGTTTCAGGTAACTTTAGAGGTGGTCAGCAGTTGCTGCTTTTGATTACTGATACAATGAAGCCAGTAAACCAGTCAAATGTGCAGTGGTTCCTGGTGTAACAATTGTAACAACTGACAACTTAATAAGATGCTACTGCATATTGCTTTGATTGAATCGTGAAACAACGTAGAATATTTTATTTAAGTACATGATTTCACGTTGGAGCACAGTAATAGACAAGCATAAAAGAGGTGGTTACCACATGCTATACATCATCACACCTGCTTTTTTCTGACATCCATTTCAGTTGTACGCACATATGAGATGCATTGTTAGAGATCACACTAGCATTACACAAGGAGTAACAACCGTCAAGTGAACCTTCTCACAGATGACATAAAGTAAAACGATTCATCTGTGTCCATTAAAGATTAGGTTCCGCTAGCCACTAAGTTAAGCAACGTCTAACTTTTATGTTTTGCGTAATTAATAATCAGAAAGGCGTGATGATCAGCACGAGTTAGCGGACTTGAATTCTTCATGTTACAGTTGTCATTCACTTAAACTGGAGTGTATTTATACGATTAGAACTCAAAAAATATTGCACTCTGTCCTCCTACTTTTTTAGATTCACTCAGCTAAATAGTAGAAAAAAAACTTTTCTTTACAATTAAAATTAAAATTATGTTTTCTGTGCTTAAGTATAATGATATCCTTACATAAGCAAGTCCACGAAAATTGAGAGAATTTCCTGACGCCCAAGGGATGCCTTTTATGGATTCCTTATGTTTGCCTAGAAGTGTCATGGGAATAAAGTCAATTGGGTGTGCATTTTCCACACACATGTAAGGCCAAAATGTGTTAAGTCTTCGACTGGAAAAGCATTTTGTTCAGTTTGATATTGAATTTGGATGCTGCAAGTTTCATTTTTTGAAGTTGATGATAACAGTCAAAAAGACCAGCTAAATGTGTGTGAATCTACTCAAAATGAGTAATTCGATAAAGAAACAGAAGTGAGTTGTCCAATCTCTAACCCTTGGAGTAAATAAAAATGCAAATACTCACCAGAAAGTGAATCAATGCATAGAGGTGAACTCCATGATGGATTACAAAATTTCCACGGTAGTGTACTTGTAAAACTGACACAGAAGTAATAGAAGCAATGCACTAATATAATTTGATAGTATATGTTTAACAACCATGATAAAAACACCATAGAATAACCAATGCCTGCAAAGTGAAAAAAATATTGACAACACATGCAGAAATTCAAAGTATTATTGATATTGACACAGTTGAAGGCCTATTTTTGGTAGAATACTGTACAGTGAAGTCAAGAACTTTCTGCAACTGTGACTTAATCTTTGAAATACTGTTTCGATGTAAATTAATTTCTAAAACTGACTAAAAGAACACTTCATAAAAAATATTTGAATGACTGCCATTTCTATTGCTACTAATTATGGACAAGTTTATGTTCCAGGGAAAAATCATATTTGTATGGCTTTTAATGTATAACTAGATCATTTCAGTTTCCAAATATTCAGACTGCGGCATCGCAGTTACTCTGTAAGATGAATGTTATTGTGCTTACGCAGTAAGTACATTTTGTTATATTTGATGAAGAAATGGTTGAAGATCAATTGTGGTCTAACTTCTTAGACGATTTATGCATGTCTTCTTTCTACTGTGTAGTTAGACTGTAGGATCGTCTAACAATGGTGGGTTTCAGTGATCAGATCCAGAAAAAATCCAGTATTTATATATACATTCTGGTTTACCATCGTTCCTTTCATTAACATTCTCCGTGGGTTTTTTTAAAAATTATAGTTATGTCAATTCATGTCTTATTGTGCCAGGCTAAGTGCTGGTTAGTCCATATGTGTCCCGCCTACATATCACTCCATATAGCCGTATATAGAGGAATGATACTCACGTAAAATATCTCAACGAAACAAATAAAGGAAAGTAGTGTTTGCAATAATAAACATTTCCAACAAAACAAATATGAGATTACATAAGTGATTTATAAAATGTCAGTTCAATAAATCTATCGTATGACATTAAATTACATTATCACATAGAACTGCGGATAGAGATGTCCGCCACCTGCAAACAGAACTGTATGTTAGAAATAAAAAAATGTGAGGAATTCTCATTTCTTCGATAATCTCAAAGACTAGTAATTTAGTGACATAAAATTATCATCCACATTATACACTGGCCTAGTTATCATCACCATACTTAACCTTTTACTGTAATCCTTCGCAAACGAAAGAACAAAAATTGATTTGAGACAGAACAGTAGGTCATGCATCTAAACCTTTATCATCTAAAAAACAACTTAAGTAACCAGATAAAACTACTAGTTATCAAGTGAAGTGCAACTCATAGCCTAATCAACTGAAGTGAATTTCAAACGTAGAATTCTGCACAAAAAATGAATAAGCTAAAGTAGACAGAAATGTGCGAGAAGTAGTAAACTTTCCTTGGAGATATTGGTAATTTAATGAATCTGGGCTGTCACAAAGAGTGAATGCATCTGCGACACTGCAAACGATTGTGAGACATCGTCAGATCCATACAGCTATTTATTCTTAACCTCTCAGAGACCTCAGTCAATTAATCTTTGCCTTTCCGTATGATTCAAACCAACAATCAAAGACTTCATAGCCTAGTTAATGCACATGTCTACACATTCCTAATCACTTGTATAAATAAACACCTACCTTTAAACAAAGGACTGATACTCCACACAGATATAGGGCCCAGACTGGCGAATTGACCAAAAGCAAGTTCAAGGAAAAACAACGGTAATCCAAGAAAGGCTAACATACAAGTATAAGGTATGAGAAATGCACCTAAAATCATTGAACAAAAAACATTTAAGCTTCTTTTTCAGAAATCACATAAAATCTTTATCAGGTGAATCATCGACGAAAGTTTTTATCAGTATAAGCCAGTAGTTTAAATAATAAACTTGTATGTACGAAATATTTGTAGTAATCGAAAAATGCTTGAAACGTTCGGAAAACAGTTTCACTGGAAGTGTACTGGATTGCACATGAATTGACCCGATAGTTCTGACTTGGGGAGGGATGACGAGATTCACTCGTTATCAACTAATAATTACAAATGATTCATTAGCCATATGTCAGATCTCCTCCAAAATGTGTTTGCTGTTTGTGGGATTGCTACGTATCCTTATTCTTATTCAGCGTGTATTTTGCCCACTTATGACACACTGGACTGACACAATACTACGCTAAGTTGCACACGGATTTATTAATAAATCGTCCCAGATATTATCACTAGTTTTGTAATCATAATATTTAAATGACCAGATATTGCTGATCAACTATATTTCATACTACAAAAATAAACTTCAGTATTTACATGATGTCAGTTTTCATGGCGGACAAACAGTACAAACGATGGATGTGAGATCACTGAGAAATAGTGTAGGTTGTCATACTTCGATTGAGATCATCATAAATTGTAAAACGCACTTCAGCAGTACAGTTTTGTTCAAGTAACAAAATCATAGCTACTGCTCACTGCTTTTATATAATACGTCTACTGTAATGACAAGAACAACTCTTTTTGTTATTTAACATGCTAAATATTTTTCAACTAATTGCTTTTCTAACACAAATGACGATTAGCCTTAATCCTTTTGCTTCAATTTCCTCAGTAATTCTCATGAAATGCTATGTGTTTTTTTATGAGCTCAGAAAATATATGTTTTTTTAGTGGTAGGTACAATTTTCACTCTCATAATCCGTAGATTTCTCTTGTACTCTTTTCTTGGATCAATTTTCAATCCTGAAACGAGTTTGGTGTATTCAGTAAGTCATAATTTTGAATTCGTCCAAAATGACTCTTGGGCTGCTAAATGAATGGCAAAGCTTGGTTATCAACTGATATTGTAAGACTGAAGTGATGCACTGTTAAACTGCTAATTGCAATAGTTGATAGTGTGTCCAAGTGGTGAATGTCCACAAGAGATGAAATCTACCGACCACAGTCAAACATGAAGAGATTAAAGAAAGAGAAATTCCGTAACAAATTTAAACCAAAAATATTCCTAATCCATTTAAAACAAACCAATACTGTGGGTTAGGCAAGCATAATTCACACTAATCTGTTGCAGTTATCGGTTAAATAGATTTTATAAAGAATAGAAAGAAGTGATGAAAAGACAACTGCACTTTTTCCCGACTTTAAGTCTATCGTTGGTTCAACTAAATTTTTAAATTTAGTCACTGTCTCAGTGCTTGAAAAGCATCACAGTTCTATGCTTTTCCAATGACTTGGATCATCCTAAATCTATGTTGCCACAGATTTCAACCAATGCACCTTTCATCAAAATAACTTATAAATTATTCACATTCCTTCAAAATTAAGCAACATATTTTGATAGGTTTTAAAGTCAGTAAAGGGAGTTCAGACAATAAATATATTCAGATCCTGCTACTGGTCTTCTTACTTTACTGAAGTTTTTGAATGAGAAAAACAGCACACAAGTTAAGATACAATCTGATCAGAACCTTCCGCGCTCATGAAAATGCAAAATACACAAGTGAAATAAAATGCCTGAGACAGAATATTTAACACTGATGTAACTGACTAACCTCCTCCATTTTTAAAACATAAATATGGAAATCTCCAAACGTTTCCCAGACCAACAGCATAACCCACACATGTCAGAAAAAATTCTATCTTATCGTTCCATTCACCGCGTACATTGGTGATACGTGAAGGTTCACCATCTTGTTGGGCATTGTTGGCTGATTCATTCGTGATTTGAGTTTCCTCCTAAGAAATAAAAACCAATAACAATTGTAATTTTAACTATATTTCAGTTAAATGATGTGTGAAATCTGAACTGAAGTAAAATAGTTACTAAATATTATAGATTTTTACCATGACTGTTTGATTAAAGATTGAATTAAGTAGGATGGCATAAGCTGGAGAGAAATAGAGTTTATTTTCACTGAGATATTTATATATTATGTAAAAACGTATGAGTATATTTGATATACATTTCACGTCTGTCAGAGGTGAGATAATGTTGTCAGACACGTCTCCCAAAACTCTTACTTTTGAAAGATTTTAAGCACAAATACAGAAAATTCAGTGGACATTTATCAAATTTTGTAATTTTTGCACTTATGAAGATACTTGCTGCTTTTCAAACAGCAGATGCATGCATACTTTCCACGGAACAATGAAGAAAAATGGTCTGTTTGTCTGTCTGTTTTCAACATAGAACTTTGCACCAATGTGCAGCAGTTCAAGTCGCCACACTCCATGTAGCACACAAAGCAAGAGAAGAAAGTAGAAGAAATGCAAAATAGAGACAAAAGGAATAGCAATAACGAAGGACAATATAGTTTCATTGGGGATTATAAATTACAAGGAGTGGATGCATCTGCGCCAGCCATTGAGAACGATTTTGAGCCAGCCATTGCTTTTTACCGTACCGAGGACCCCGACCAGCAAGTCTACACCTTCCTACGTGGCTGGCTATAACTAACTTTTGTGGATTTCATTGACTGGTGCCATGTTCTGGTTTGACAGCCACTAGCTCATTTCCAGCCTGACCATATGTCAGCTAACATTGCCCATTGTCGAGGAAGGCGATGACTAGGCATACGTAACACATGTCCTAACCATCTCAGTCGATGTAGCTTCACAGCCTCGTTGATTGATTTCCCCTTCTTACCTAGCACTCGACGCCTTAGCTCAGTATTCCATTTTCATGTCCTCCCGTCTCAAATGGTCATCGAAGATGGCAAACACGAGAAAGTATACAATATTTTGTATATCATGAAAAGCTAATAGTATCCAGGTTAGTTATAGAATGCTAGACAAAATAAACAAAAACGTTTCGATGACTTCGGATTATCGATGAACGGAACAACAGAGGCATACGTTTAGCATGATGATACACTGTCTCACTTGAAGAATAATACCAGAGAAAGTAATGTATTTTTGTAAAAATCTAACAAGACACTGTATCAGTCCACGAGGTTGGATAGGTGCACAATGTCACTAAATTGTTGATAATTAATAACTGAGGTTTCGGTAACTGGAAATCAGACACAATAGCATATATGTATATATATATACTTTGTCATTATCAAGTTCAAAATTTTGAACATTAAAATTACTTTTCAGTATACTCTGTCCTAATGCTTCTCATAATCCGTCTGTATATTGTTTCAAAGAGTGGCATTTTGAATTATTGCGCTCCTTGATGAAGTTTTCGCTGATCTCACAGCACGTGGAAAAGTCTCTTATACATTTTATCCAACATTTATGAAAATAAAAATTATATCTGGTAGCCGAGTTATCCAAAATACAGTCTCTAAATAATCCCTACTGCTGAATGAACTCAAATCGAATCATACTGTTGCAATTCAACATACGGAAAATACTTCATCTTCTACGATTCCTCACAAATTTGAAAATTACATAGTTCATTCTTTACTGAGTGAATGAATTAATTTAAGTTATATTTATTTGTCTGATGTGGTTACGCTTTTATTGTTTTCAACTTTACATCTTACTTAATTACCCAACAAATATTACAGCATTTTTTTAACACGGATATGCAACTCCTGCTATCTTGAGTACCTGCTGGTCTTTTTAATCGTGCAAAGCTCTTTAAAACAGAAACGTTTTGAAGTCGACTTAAGTTCATTGTAATTTAATAAATTTGACTTTTAGAAAACTATATATGGAATTTATTTACTACAGAATAATACTTAAAGAAAACCTGATGAATGTACATACTTGTTCAACTTTTTATCATCTTAGGTTTCCACTGACTCTGTCTTATGCTTAAAGATAGTTCAGGCCTCAGAGTTTAATGATGAAAATGAGCTACAGCTGAGGTGTTCGATAAATGCAGTACAAAAGTAAGCCTTATGGTAAAAACGGTTGTATTTAAGTTAGGCTAAAAAATATAAAAAAATTCAGCCTGCATGAAATCACCACATAGAACAGACTCTAATGACATGACATCGTTGTTATAGATACGTTGCTTTATACAGTTTTATGCACAGCATATACATATTTATGGCCCGGCAATATGCATGAAATAAAACTACATTTAATCACTCTTCCATACAAAACAGAAAAATATTTTTTTTAACGTAATATATATTTTTAAACTACACTCTAACTCACCAACTTTACCAAAGCACTCATATTTCTGAAAAGAGTTTCAAATAAATCCGTAATTCAGAAACACTAATTGAGCCTGTGTTATCTCCGTGTTACAAGCCCTAAAGCCTGCAACACAAACCTGCTGCTATAGTGTGGCAAGCAGGCAAAAAGAATGATTCGCCTCACAGTTTGAAATAGTGGCCTCCTATTGCTGGGATACGCAATCGAATTAGCTTTAATTTAACCTTGACGTCTGAAGGTCATTTACTGAAAAATCTCAATACGCCTACGCACATCGTGTGTAAGCTTATTGGAGGATTATTATTTTAGCTGCCCAATAGTTGGAATATTTTCCTGATTGGCTTTCTAACGAAAGCTCAGAATATAAACAGACAGTTGAAGAATCGTATTTTCATGCTTTAAACAAACTTCACTAGGAAATACCCCTACATGGCTGAGGATCACCAAGCGCAAAAGGTTACTTAGGTTTTCTCTTGTAGGATCGAAGTTGAAACAATTTACTCAGCTTATATATTTGTTGAGAAATGCCAAAGGGAAAATGGATATCCTAAAGTATAGTCAAGAAAGAGACGAGAAAATGAAACATGCAACTGTTGAAAAGAAGAAAGTGTTTATTTGTCTCCCATTCAAAGGAGAAGCAGTATCACAAGAGATTGACAAGAGAATGAAAGGAGCAATAAAATGGTCTCTCTACAGCCGAGATCATTACACTATGCACCATCACATGCTCTATAAGCCAGTCTAAATTGGATAGTACCAGCCTGATGATGTCTACTCCAACCACATTCATCAATTTAAGTGCACTTGCTGGAGCACGGACATTGGAAGGACAGAAAGAAGTACTTATGTCCAGTTTTCTGAGGCTATTCTGAAAAGAACGAATTCATAAAAGGAAGCAGATATTCGCAAACTGCAATAACGAAACACCTTCGCGATACAGCTTATTTAATCGAGATTTCCAAATCCTTCAAAGTACTAAACACACGAACGACAGCACGGTTATCACAGTTTGCTGGAACAATCGAAATCGTATATTTCAAACCAAACTTATACATTCAGAAATCTCTCACTACCTTGGTGACTGCATTTTAATCACATTGATTAGTCATCCGCATTAGTAATCTCAGCTCATTGAGCAGGTTTTCGATCTTATGAACTATCACTTTCTTGAGTTGCTGAGTGAACTTATAGGCTAAATCTGTTCATTAGATTTTTCTGTTTCTGTCTTCTATTCTTCACTGTCGCCCGTCCTTTTCTACTTTCAAAGCATATGCATTGATAGTCGTCTGTAGCCTGTGAGTGCCTGTGAAATAGAATGATATCATTTTATTCTGCAAATGTGATCTTTTTTGGCCTTATAAAAATGTATATCCAGCATTCAAAGTTTTCCCTATTATTTGCATGTGTAGTGTTACAGTTTTACAAAGCAAGTTTTAATAAAAAATTTCTTTATTTCTTTGTGTATAAAAAACACTGAAATTGTTTCTCTTCCTTTTCATCGCATATTTGTTCAAAGGTTTATATTATGTAGTTAGACTTTTGAAGAATAATTTTATTTACAACAAATTCGCTAAAGGAATTTTGTCAGACTCTGAGCACCCACTCTACCCGCAGCTCAAACCTTGTGTCTCCTCAGGTAAAACAAGAAGTCTTTTCAGAAGAATTTATGCACGTACGTCTAAATATAAAAATTCCACTATACCATACTTAGCACGTACTTTATGTGATGAAAATAGTGTCAGACATGAACTAACTAACCTTCTTAGCACTACTAAATAAACCATTTCCTTCACCCTTAAAGCATCAAACTTTATTGTTATCGTATTTCTTATATTTAAAATCCTCTCAATTTTTTCGTTTTGTTTACTTTTTTTCATAAGTGTGGACATAATTTAAGCTGTATTATAACTGTTAATTCTGTATTTCCCCTCACTATACTATATGAACAGAACATTAGATCCAATAATCTATAACATGCTAAAATTTCCAAACTGAATGGACAATACCGTTTGAAACAAACTCACTGTTATTATTATTATTACATTTAATAATCTCAATTCATGCTTCGAATATTTTTGACTTTATGTCGTAAATGTGGACAAATTCCTCTGATTAATTTTGTTTTAATTTTTGAAATTTTATTTATATTTTGAGTAAATCAGATGCAATATTGTGACAAATACTGAGAATTCCATTCTGTATTATAAGTACTGTTTTTGGAATAAAGTAGATTATTATTATTATTAATAACAGTATCTGAAGACTTTGCATACTTGGCATTATACGTCAAGATTTGCATGGCGGTCGAATCTCAAAGGTCTGAATTTGCTACGTGGGAAAACTGCTATTGTGGAGTAACGTTGTAAAAGTTTGAAAGAAAATAGGCAGATGTACTTGTCTTAATGGGAGGTAGTCAAGGGCCAGGAGTTGGGAATGTGTCAGGTTTATATCATTGATCACACAGTCTGCAATACACATTGAAATGAAGCTTAGATCTGGATACAATGGTTTTGCAGACTGTAAGAATTGCATTAATTTCAACGTATAAATCTTCGCCACGAATCAACATCAATTAGAGAGATCACTGAAAACCAGTGAGTACTGAACAGGTGTTTCATCCCGTTTTGGGACTCGTTAACTATTCAGAGACTTTAGCTGGAATACACTGAGCCGTGAATTCTAACTTCGTCAATTCCTGACATAGCCCTATCTTCACCAAAGCATTCAATTCGCATCCGCTGCATCTTGAGATGATGGATCTCATTGACCACTACTTCGTATTACAGCTCCAGGACATTCATTCAGCAGTCACCAATGAGCTGACGATTGATTTTCAGATTATGGGATTCGTTGTGAATCGGATTATTTCAAAGGAGTCCCAATGTGGGACGAAATAGCTATCCAGTCCTCCCTGGTGTTTAATGATACTTCTAACTGATGTGGATTCATGACGAAAATCTGATGACGGTTTTCAACATATTTTATCAAAATATGACATCTATGAAGGTGTAATAATGGAGGCATCATGAGTAAAGAAGTACACATCACATAGTAGTTGTTCAAGTTGGAGAGAAATAATAAATGCGTCCAACGCGAAACTTATAACTTTATTAAAAAAAGAATATTACTCATTAAATAATGCATTTTAATTCAAAAGAAATTCCCTCCTGTCTACTTAACTTCATGCATATCCCAAGACATTTGTCAACCTAGATTAACTGATTAAAGAGGCCCAGTAAAGTTTTCAAAAGAATGGCTAATGAAGAAAGAATATTCTTTTCGATAACCCCTTCTTCATCAGATTCTACCGTTATATAAACACAATAGTGCTCGAGAACATCTCCCACTATGGCTAAGAAAAGGTGTAGTGAAAACCATTAACAGTTCGATATTGGACCATCTGGTCCAAACCGGCCGGCCACAAAGCCAGCGTGGAAGAATCCTTCTCTATCATCTACCGGGTGCCAAAATCATCGAAGCACCGCATGCTCCAAACACCAGAGGCTATTGCAATTCGCCTCAAACAACCAGTGCTCTGTGTTCAAAAGAAAAAAGTCCAGCACTTACTACCGCCCTAGCCGGCCTTCAGTAGAGACTAAAAATTTATGAATTTGTAATATTATCTTTCCTAATTTTTCTGATATTCAGTTTATTGTTATGTTGATGCTACTGAACTGTAATCCACTGATATTATTATTATTGATTCGATGTTATTTAAATAACATTAATGTTGATCATAACACTAATTCATTCATTCACTATAATTCACTATATATATAACTGTAGAGCCTGATGATAAAGGGGTTATCGAAAAGAGTACTCTTTGTTCAGTATCCATTCTTTTGAGTAAACTAGAGTTATTAACAACATCAATATTTAAATAACACCGAATCGATAGTAATAATATCAATGGATTACAGTTCAGTAGCATCAACACAACGATACACTGTTGACGAATGTCTTCAATAGCCTGTTGGAAATCCTTTTCGTGACACCCAGTGCAAGTTTATGACCCATAAAGAAGCACTGACCGACTTCACAATGGTTTTGAAAATCCGAGTCTTGTTCCTTGTGCTGGCTGAGTGAAGAAGAAGATTTCCAAACGGGTTTCAGGTTGATGAAGGCGTATCTTGCCTTTCCGATCCTGACTTTGACATCTTCATCCGTTCCGGCTGCCTGTAGTTGAAACGATGCTTCCTAGATAAGTGAAGGAGGTGAAGGTAACCTCTGTTAAATCTCTCCCACTGATGGTGATTGGTGCTGGTTGTTGTTGCTGCTGTTCGTTGGTTATCTTCACCACCTCTGTCTCCTCTGAGTTCACCTGCAGTCCTGTCTTCGCTGCCAGCCTCTTCGCCTGCAATTCCTCGAGTTTGTGTGAGATTAGACTTATATCATCCACACGCGAAATCCGGTCCAACGTAATAATAAGTCATAATGTATCTGTTGGCGCTTTTATTTGCTTCATCAGGGTTTTAAGTGTACTGTTGAGAATTCTTCTTCGGTTGTATAAGCAGTAAATTAAATCTTGCTTTTGCTGTTAAAGTGTGGGATTATCTCACATAAATATTTTTGAATGTAATGGGTTTTTATGGACGCTAATAAGTATGCTTCTTCCTTCTTTTCATTTTATTGTACCGCTTTCATGTTTTCTTTACTCATTTTTTTTTATTCAAAAGTAATTTTTGTTCTATATACCAATGAGTTTATATATATGTGAACAAACTTGGGATGTGTCCTGTTGTGAAGACGGTGAAAGTTTCATCCGCACATCTGTACACTATTCTTGAGATAGAATCCATTGTTCATAACCACGTTCACTCAAAACTACTAGTATTACTCATATGTAGTCAGAAGTAAGGCAGTTATCAACCTTAAAATTAACACGCCACTGCTTGTATGCGACGATTATGCTGATTCACCGATCTTGTGTTTGTATATGATTTGTGTGTGAGAATTTCTGATGTAAACAGGTTATGAATAAAGTCAGTGAAACTCGTTAAATCAAAGTAATACAACCTGAATGATGTATTCAGTAAAGTAACCAACCAATGGAGAAGCACGGCTGAACCCTATGTTCCTCTAGGAATTAAGGATACAATATAATATAATTTATGTAAAGTATTCTGACCCTTACTTCAGTATGTGTCAGTCTCGAATAGGAATTATGTACATACCATATCACACTGACTACAGGAAATCAAGTC